CATTGTTGTTTGGCGGCCCAGGCTGGGCCTGGGCTGGATTCAAACCCACCACCTTAGTTGTATGTGGCTGGCGCCTTAGCCACTTGGGCCACAGGCACTGAGCCTGAATTTTCTTTTTATTTATTATTTTTTATTAAATCATAACTTTATACATTGAAGCCTTTATGGGGTTCATGGATCTGAATTTTTAAGGAAAGGCATTCCAGGTAGAAGGGACAGCACATGCCAAGGGCTTGAGACAGGAAGTGCGTCTTCAAGGACAGAGGCAGCTCATCCCTGATACTTTGGGGGCATTTGCCCACTGGGGCTGTAGGAGCTGGGTCCTGAGACAGACTTCACACTTCTCACGGAAGCCCAGAGCTTTCTGAATTTCCATTTTGCAGGTGAAGCACCTGAGGCTCTGCTAGTATTAACAACCAAGAACGAGAACTCAAGAGGCTGTGCGCTAGGTTGCCTCCCAGAAAATAAGAACGCCCGAGAGGCGAGGGGAGACGCTGGGAGGCCGGGCCTGGGGTTGCGAACAGGAAAGGGATAGTTGAGCTGCCTGCTGAGACTGATGCAAGCCCGGAACCCTCCACCTGGAGTCCCGGGAGCCGCAGACAACGCAAGATGCAGCCACGCACGGACACAGGGCATGCCGGGAACGGAAAGCGCAGCGCAGAGGGTCTCCAGGTGGCCTGGGCAGGGCAGGCGCCAAGGAAGGGGCGTGCTGACGGGATTGGGAACGGGACGGGGAAACTAGGCTTCGGTACGTCGACCAAAATGCCTCCCAGAAGGCTACAAGCTTGCCGCGAGGTCGGAAGCCAGGCCCGCGCTCCCCCGCAGCGCCATGACGAGAGCTAGGCTCGCCCGGAAGTGAGGCGGGCGAAAGTGCGGCGCTGGCCGGAAGTGCCGAGCTACCGACGCGGGGCTCGCCGGGAAGTGTGGTTCCTCCGGGTGGCCCGGGGCGGTGCCCGCAAGTTCTGCGGATCTGGCGGACCGTCCGGCGTGGACCCGGGATGGCTGGACCCAGCGGCTCCGGGGGCCCGATCGGGGCGGGAACCCTGGCAGGTGGCGCACGGTCCAAGGTAGCCCCCAGCGTGGACTTTGACCACAGCTGCTCGGACAGCGTCGAGTACCTGACGCTCAACTTCGGGCCCTTCGAAACAGTGCATCGGTGGCGGCGCCTCCCGCCCTGCGACGAGTTCGTAGGTGCCCGGTACGGTGGGCTTCCAGGCGACTTGTGGGGGGGGGGGGGGGAGTGGGATCCGAAGAGAGTCCAGGGGCGAGGCTGGGGTATGGTGTACTGGAGAGGGACCTGGTAATGGAGGGCGACGATACAGTCCGGGATGGTGTCCAGAGCAGGTGAAGGAGTTCCGAGAGGAACACGACCTGGCTAATGTACTAGAGCTAAGATGTGTATGTGGGTCTTGGGCTAGGGTCCCAAGTGTTTTGTGGTTGGGTAGGGAGTCCAGAGTAGGAGGAGGCGTGCTTGGAGTGTCCTTTGGGATACTGGTAAAATTTAGGGGTTTCCATACGTCTTAGCAGTTGAGAGGTGTCTAAATCTTGCAGCCGCTCTCCTGCTTAGTCCTATTCGTTAGGCGCCCTCCAGGAGAGTCCTGTCCTCACAGCCCTCCCCTTCTTTTTTTCCAGGCGCAGCAAGCACACAGTGGTGGCCTATAAAGATGCCATCTATGTATTTGGTGGAGACAATGGGTGAGTGAGCGTCAGGGAGTTTGGACCAGGTGGGGGAAGCATTGTGGTCAGGGACCCGTTAGCTAATGCCTCTAAGCCTCAGTTTCCCTGCAATGAGATCCTGCATAAAAGGTCTCACTCAGCACAGCATCCAGTGGGTAGCATGTGCTCTGTATGTGGAAGGGTCCCTCTTGTTCTTAGTGAGTAGACACAGCCTTGAAAGAAACACATCCACCCTTGCTGCCAGCCCTACCAGGCACTTTTCTTTCTTTCTTTCTTTTCTTTCTTTTCTTTCTTTCTTTCTCTCAAGCTATCCCCCTGGGTAGAGTGCCATGGCATTACAGCTCATAGCAACCTCCAACTCCTGGGCTCAAGCGAGTCTCCTGCCTTAGCCTCCTGAGTAGCTGGGACCACAGGCGCCTGCCACAACGCCCGGCTTTTTTTTTTCATTGCAGCCGTCATCCTTGTTTGGCGGGCTTGGGCTGGATTCAAACCTGCCACCTTAGGTGTATGTGGCTGGTGCCTTAGCCACTTGAGCCACAGGCGCCGAGCCCCTACCAGGCACTTTTCTTTCCCTGCACTTCTCCCTGGACCTCATCCACATGCTCACTTTGCAGCTGAAAGGTATAGAGGGCACAGTTTTCTTTATTTCATTTTTTTAAACCCTCACAGTTTGTGAGGGTTTTCTCCTGTTTGTATAAACTCCTGGCAAACAGCCTTCCTAACAACTAACTGATGTTCTGTTTTGGGGCATGCCTCCATTCACATGAACAGTCCCCGTTTAAATTGTGGCTGGTTTTCCTGTGTTGAAAGTGAGTTGTTTGCACATGACCAATTGTGCCCAACAGTCTCTTTCCTTAAGAGCAGCCAGAGGGATTCATGTTCAAGTGCAAGACAGAGTGTGTACCTCCCAGGCTTACCTCTCTGTGCCATCTCCCCACCTCTGTGGGAAAAAGCCCAAGTCCTCATGACACTCCATGAGGCACTGCTCCTCTGCTTACGGCTCCTCACTGCACTCGGGCCACACTGGCTGCCTGTTACCTTTGGACTGTACTGAGTGTCCTCTTGCTCAGGCCCTTGTATTAGTTGTTCCTTCCTCCCCTACTTCCTGCTTTTCCTCTGATGTTCCTTATGAGTCAGGCCTTCCCTGACTACCTGGACAATCTGGCGACTGCCCCCCCTACTTGTTCCACCTACATTTGCCCTGAAGCACTCTAATGTTGGCTGTGATCCATCTCCTCCCCAAAGGCAAGGCCTGTGCTCCTATCTTAGCACCAAGACAATTCAATATATGTTTGTTGAATGAAGGGATGAAATAAGGAAGCAGCATCTACCACAGATGTTTACTGGAACCATGATGAGAATCCCCCAAACCAAAAAATGCCTTGGTGTCTGGCACTGGGCAGTGGGTGGGAAATGGGGGACCTCTATCCTCAGGTGTGTCCTGTAGCAGGTGAAGTTTGTGTGACAACTCTTTGGCAATAAGCAGAAACATTTTTGCTACGTTGTGACACTAAGAAACAGGATACAAATTTGTCTCGCTCTAGTTAACAACTTTCTAAAGGCTGAGTACAAAGAAAGGTGGCCTTCTCTTGCATGTAGGGGTGGTGAGGGAGGAACTATATCACACAGTCAGCTTCCTGAGCTCCTAGCTTCATGGTCTGAGGCACAGCCTTTGGTCTCCCAGGATCCTCTCTGATTGCCCTGCTTTGCTCACAGGAACAAGGACATTCTGGTCATTTGAGGTGGTACAATAGCCAGTGGATTTGTTTTCCATTTTATTGTATCTTTAACACAGTTGTTACATTGTTTTATTTTATTTTATTTTTTTGAGACAGATCCTCAAGCTGTCGCCCTGGGTAGAGTGCAGTGGCATCACAGCTCACAGCAACCTCAAACTCCTTGGCTCAAGTGATTCTCTTGCCTCAACCTCCCAAGTAGCTGGGACTACAGGCGCTCACCACAACGCCTGGCCATTTTTGGTTGTAGCTATCATTATTGTTAGGCAGACCCAGGCTGGATTCGAACCTGCCAGCTGTGTATGTGGCTGGCGCCTTAGCCTCTTGAGCTACAGGCACTGAGCCTTATTGCTTTGTTTTTGTTGTTTGTTTTGTTGAGATAGAGTCTTACTCTGTCACCTAGGCTCGTGTACCATGGCGTTAGCCTAGCTCACAGCAGCCTCAAACTCTTGGGCTCAAGTGATTCCTGCCTGCTTCAGCCTTCCAAGTAGCTGGGACTACAGGTTTCCACTAAGATGCCCAACTAATTTTTCTGTTTTCAGTACACATGGGTCTTGCTCTTGCTCAGGATGGTCTCATACTCCTGGCTTCAAGTTATCCTCCTGCCCAGCTGCCCAGAGTGCTAGGATTACAGGCCTGAGCCATCGCCGTTACATTAGTTTTGCAATAAAGAAGTGACAGGAAGATCAGAGATAAGCAAAGGGCCTCCCCTGCAGCATGGGCAAGTGTCTGCATTGGGGGTGGGGTGCAGCCTCACAGGAGTGGCACGGAGATGTACACATAGGACTTTTGGAGGTTGGGGTGAGGTCTGAGTGGCGACTCTAGTCTTTGGGCCATTTTATGCCCTCAGTCAGCTGCTGGGTGGGCTGCTGGTAGCTGGGATCACTCTTTGGTCCTGACCCCAAGCAGGGTGGTGGCTGCCTGTATGGCAGTGCTGGTGGCTGCAGTAGCTGGGGAGCCTCTTTTGTTGTCACCACTCTGGTCCCTTAGGCATCAGCTAGTTGCCAAACTGATTAATGGTTCCAGTGACTCAGCCGAACAGCCCCTACCCGCCAGCTGCATGCAGTGCCCCTCTTCAGGGCCCTGCTGGGGCATTGCCCTACATGGCTGACCTGGCTGACACCTCCTCTCTTTGCTGCCTTTCAGGAAGACGATGCTTAATGACCTCCTGCGGTTTGACGTGAAGGACTGCTCCTGGTGCAGGTGAGTGGCCTCCATGTTCCTGGGGCAGGTGGGTGGCCTCCGTGCCCTATTTTTCGTCCTAGAACACAGCAGAGTCACCATCAAGCAAAGCTAGAGAAGCTTCCAGGAGGAGATACCCTTAAGCGCCTGTAGCTCAGCAAGTAGGGCATTGGCCCCATATACCAAGAGTAGGGAGTTCGAGCCCTGTCCCAGGCAAACTGCAACAAAAAATAGCTAGGCATTGTAGTGAGCACCTGTAGTTGTCTCAGCTACTTGGGAGGCTGAGGCAAGAGAATCACCTAAGCCCAGGAGTTGGAGGTTGCTGTGAACTATGACACCATTGCACTCTATCCAGGGCGACAGCTTGAGGCTCTGTCTCAAAAAAAAAAAAAGAAAAAGAAACCATACGGAGGCATAAATATGTGTAGGGAAGACCTGAGGTGTTGGCAGCAGTTTTCTGGCAGTGGGATTGTGTGTGATTTTTAGTGCCTGTTTTGTCTTTTCCTTGTTGGTATTTTTTTTTCTTAAGTTTCTATAATGAGACAGGTATCACCTGTCTTTGAAATACAAAAATAAAAGGAAGCCTGGGCTTGGCAGGGCTGCCATAACCCTGGTAGGCCCTCATTACCCCTGTCCCTGCTCTAGGGCCTTCACTACTGGGACCCCACCAGCTCCCCGCTACCACCACTCGGCTGTTGTCTATGGGAGCAGCATGTTTGTCTTTGGTAAGTGGCCTCTCACCCCAAAGGGCGGTGGATGTCCTCACCAAGCTTGGAGGTCATGGACACATGCTGTGCTTGGCAGGTGCTCTCTGCCACCCCTCAGCTTTGTCTGTGCTGGGTGGGGGGTCTTTTTCCCTAACTGTTGTGAGCTCATGGGATTGGGTTTCTGCCAGTGTGACTGGGCCAGAGCAGGAGACAGGGTCCCCAGATACTGGCGGGGAGGCCGGCAGTCAGGGTTCTGTGTGTAGGAACCTTAGTTTATGCATTTTGGGTGGGGCCGGATTCCATCCCCCCTCCTGGGGTTCAAAGACTCACATGCTGCCTTTGAGTGTAACACTTTCTTGCTCTCTTTACCCAGGGGGCTATACTGGAGACATTTATTCCAATTCTAATTTGAAGAATAAAAATGACCTTTTTGAATACAAGTTTGCAACTGGCCAGTGGACAGAATGGAAAATTGAAGGACGGTGAGAGATGCTGCTGAAACCTGTGGAACCAGGGTCCCTGGGAGTGGCACACCTGGATTTGCCCCCATCCTGCATCACAGATGAGGACCCTGAGGGTACACAGTTGAGGGAGAGAAATGGGAGCTGGAAGCTGCCGCTGTCCATGGCCGGCTCCCACTCTGAGGTTCCCTCCCTGCAAGAGAGGCCTGAACGCAAAGTACACGGGCACTTCTTGGGTCCTGCTTTGCTTTCATTTCCTTTGATATTTTGTGGCAGCTGGGTTTTGTTTGTTTCTGTGTGGGTCTCTGAGCTCTAGCCCTGTTTCTGTGTGGGTCTCGGCTCCAGCTCTATTTCTGGCTGGTTCCTCTTCCAGTGGCTGCCAGTTCCTTATGCCTGTGGTGCTGTTGCTTTTCCCCAGGATCCCAGTGTCAGGTGGACAGGGCCACGTGGTCCGGCTGTGGTCTCAGTAATGGCTGTGTGGGCCTGGGAAGCTCAGGTCCGCACTGGCCACCTTACTCCTTGCTTTGCCCTTCATTTCCCAGGTTGCCAGTTGCTAGATCGGCCCATGGGGCCACCGTGTACAATGACAAGCTGTGGATCTTTGCTGGCTATGATGGCAATGCCAGGTAGGTGGGGGTAGCCCAGCCCGGTGCAGCCCCTGAGGTACTGAGGAAGAGAGCAGGCCTTTTTGGCATTGAGGGCTCCAGCTGGCCAAGGTCAGCCTGGTGGGTTCTGAGGGCCACTCTGTCTGAGGGGTTCTCAGGAGGGGCATGGGGAGAAGAGTGGAAGGGTCAGAGGGAGGCAAGAGCCACTGAGTGGCCCCTACCTGGCCCCGTGGCCCCTTGAATGGCTGAGATGCAGAGCCTCAGGGCCATAGGTTGGAGTCACCCTGAGGGCTAGGTGAGAGACAGGTGGGCAGTCTCAGGGCCCAGACCCAGCTCATTTCTTCCCTAGGCCACAGGCATGTGTTCCTCCTTAATCCAGATAATTGGCTTTGCTATACTTTTGTGACTATAGAAATAGCATGTGCTGGTTCCCTTAAACTTTAGCATCATAGAAACACCTGACGGGACAGTGTGATATCTGAGGTCCCCTCACACCCCCAGCCCAGCTCTGGGGTAGGACACAGACTGAGGGGCTGGCCCTGCTGCATTACCCAAATGTTGTACCTGAGGCTACTCATTCCTGTGCTGGCTGGGTGGGGGGCCTGGCATGGCAGGGATGTGGTAGTGTGCCCTCCTCTCCCCCCGACCCCCAGCCCCGAAGCACCTACATCATGGCTGTACAATAGTCCCCTAATCCACATGGCAGGTGGCTTTTCTTTGGAGTCATCCCTTCTGGCCAGGATCAGGCCCACCCTGACAGCCAGACCTGTCTTTTTTTTTAATGTTTAGAGAAACTTTTCTACTAGCAGACCATAGAAATGATCCCTAAAAGTACAGTCTTCCTTTTATCCTATTGCAGGCTGAATGACATGTGGACAATTTGCCTCCAGGATCGGGAACTCACCTGCTGGGAGGAGGTGAGGGCCAGGGTGGGGGCAGACCCAAACCTCACTGTCTTCCTTGACCTCCTGCCCTTAATGGCTGGTTCCAGCAGTAGCTGCACAGTGACCAAAGTCTCCCTACCTTAGGCAGAGCACCCACAGGTGTGAGGCACGTGGTTTTTGTCTAACCCAGCCTCGTTTTAACATAGTGAGGCCAACATGCTGACCAGTGCCCTGTTCACTGGAGTCCCTCTAGGCATTCTTCCCCTGGAGAAACATCTAATGTTACCCCCTGATGATTTCAGCCCCAACTGTTCAAAATTGGGCCTCTTTAGGAGTTTATAATAGGATTATAAACTCTTCTGTAAGAAAAAGAATCCCGAACTCTCATTCACAGAAGTTTCAAGAATAAAAGTGAGGCTGGGCATGGTGGCTCACGTTGGTAATCCTACTACTCTGGGAGGCCAAAGTGAGAGAATTACTTGTGACCAGGTTGAGACCAGCCTGAGCAAGAGGCCCCATCTCTACTAAAAATAGGAATAATTAGCCAGGTTTGGTGATGCATGCCTGTAGTCTGAGGTATTTGGAAGGCTGAGGCAGGAGGATCATGTGAGCCCAGGAGTTCGAGGCTGCAGTGGACTATGATTAGACCACTGTACTCCAGCCTGGGGGACAGAGTGAGACCCTATCTCAAAAAAAAAGGCTCAGCGCCTGTGGCTCAAGTGGCTAAGGCGCCAGCCACATACACCTGAGCTGGCGGGTTCGAATCCAGCCCAGGCCTGCCAAACAACAATGACAGCTGCAACCAAAAAATAGCTGGGTGTTGTGGCAAGCACTTGTAGTCCCAGCTACTTGGGAGGCAGAGGCAGGAGAATTGCTTGAGCTCAGGAGTTGGAGGTTGCTGTGAGCTGTGATGCCACAGCACTCTACCCAGAGTGACAGCCTGAGTGTCTGTCTCAAAAAAAAAGAATAGTCCCAGCTCAGTGGTCTGAGTAAGCTAAAGTGTGAGTCAGTTCTGTGAGGCTGGCAGCTGAACTGCCCTCCCATCCCAGGTGGCCCAGAGTGGCGAAATCCCACCATCTTGCTGCAACTTCCCGGTGGCTGTATGTCGGGACAAGATGTTTGTGTTCTCGGGGCAGAGTGGAGCCAAGATAACCAACAACCTCTTCCAGTTTGAATTCAAGGACAAGACGTAAGTACCTTGGTGTGAGGGTAGTCAGCACCCCTGCTCGTAGCTGGGAGCTATGGTTGCTGGCCTTCTGGGCTCTGGCCTGCAGCGGGAGTACACAGCTGTGGTGCTCTGCAGACCACTAGGGTATGGTTGTAGCTCAGCAAGATAGGGCCCAGGCAGGCCCCTCAGGCTCTCTTTGAGGGTGAGAGACACCCTTTGCACTGAATGGTTTGGTCAGTGACACAAGTGACTCATGTGGCTGGCATTGATCTCATGATGGCAGAAGAGCCCATGGGTGTGCAGGCCTGTGAGCTCCAGCTGGTGTTGCCCTTGGCTGCTGCTGGCCCCTGGTTCTGGGAGCGAATGGAGGACAGGGAACAAGGAGTGTCAACTTCAGGTTAAGAGGGCTTGGGAGGGACAGGAAGAAGGGCAAGGCACCTTGCACAGAGGTGCCCTGTGAGTTCCACAGTCAGATAGAATCATTCTGCTGTGTCAAGATCTGTCCTGAATCTCAGCTAACTTAGCAAAAGAGAGGACTTTCTGGAAGGTGCTGGGAAGTCCTTGCAGGTCAGGGTTGCTGTGGGAACAGCATCAGGATGTAGGTCCAGGTAGCTCCTGGGGTGGGGACTTGCAGTGGCATCCTCAGGCTGGATAGTGAGTGCAGTGACTTGTGGTTGCACTTGTCTGTACATAGCCTCACACCCCAGAGAGTGGGACTCCTTGGCAGGTCAGATGCCACGCCTTCCAGAAGAGTTACTGCTGGCTGCTTCATAGAGGGTGGCAGGGAGTGAAGGGGAGTCTGGCAGGACCCCATAGCAGGCCATGTGGAGCCAGGCAGGGCTGATGCTGGAGTGGAACAGGGCAAGGGATTCTGGACAAACATGTCCAGGTCCTCTCTCTGGTCTCTGGGCTGATTCCCCACAGAGGCTTCAGGGGGACTTCCCAGTGGTAGCCTGATGTGGGGGGCCCTTGGGGAAAGCAGGGGCCCATGCCCAGCAGTGGTTGACTGTCTTGCACTCCTAGGTGGACACGCATCCCCACTGAGCACTTGCTCCGGGGCTCTCCACCACCCCCACAACGGCGCTATGGGCATACCATGGTGGCCTTTGACCGCCACCTCTATGTGTTTGGGGGTGCAGCTGACAACACACTGCCCAATGAGCTGCACTGCTATGACGTGGATTTCCAGACCTGGGAGGTTGTCCAGCCCAGCTCTGACAGTGAGGTGAGTGCTGTCAGGTCTCATGTAAAGTGAGGGAGGGGGCAGTCCTGCACTGCTGCCTGGACACCAGTGGCTCCCACCCTTTTCTCGCCTTCTTCCCAGTTGCTCATGGGCTGTGGGGCCTCCCAGGGGTGCAGACCTAGGAGCACAGCTACCATGCTTAAGGCCCTCAGCCCTGGGTACCTGCCTCTCAGGCCCTCGAGCCCCATCTCTATCCTGTAGCCAGCAGCTTTCAACACCCCACATTCTGTCATGTCTGCACTGCACTGCTGAGCTGTAGGCCTTTCCTGGGAAGCCTGTCTTGGCTTATGGCTGGGCTTCCCCTCAGCCAGCAGTGAGTGCCCTGGTCATGTGGCCCTTCTCTCCCACACACCCATAATGCTTTTGGGTGGGGATAGTGGGCTGGTCTCAGGGTGCCTGCCCTGCCCTTACTGACTGGTCTCAACACTCTTATGTCTCTCCTCTCCAGGTCAGTGGGGCTGAGGTGCCTGAGCGAGTGTCTGCTTCTGAGGAGGTGCCCAGCTTGACCTCTGAGGAGCGAGGCAGCTTTAAGAAGTCCCGAGATGTGTTCGGCCTGGACTTCGGCACTACCTCAGCCAAGCAGCCCAGCCAGCCAGCCTCAGAGGTACGGCGCCAGTGACTCTCATAAGGCTCCACCACTCCCTGCAGTGGGTCCTGGGACCAGCCTCTCTCTCACACAGGCAAAACAAAGCCAGAGAAGTACTGTCTTCCAGTCACTCTGCAAAGGAGGCTCAGGGCCAGGAGCCCATGCCTTGCTGGCTAGGCTATAGTTCTGGAGTCCCTGCTGCAGGCCTAGACCACCGTGCCAGGGATAGCATGCTGTCCATGCTGTAGTTCTCCACAGCCCATCGTGCTCCCTCACCCACATGGGGACTGCCTCCTGCCTGTGTCTGTGACTGCACCAGGAGCCCTCACCCTCAGGGACTGGTCTCTGGTCCCACCTGCCTCATCCCCTCCCCAGCTGCCCAGTGGGAGGCTCTTCCATGCGGCTGCCGTCATCTCAGATGCCATGTACATCTTTGGAGGCACCGTGGATAACAACATCCGCAGTGGGGAGATGTACAGGTTCCAGGTATGGGACTTGTGGGCTTGAAGGGCTAGCTGGTATGGGCAGTGCCCCCTGACTGAGAACCGAGGCCCAGTGGTAGGGTGGGGCTTGTCCAAGGCTGGGATTGCCAGGCCCAAACCCAGTGGGATGCTGACCTTGCTGAGGAGCCTGGCAGCTGCTGTGGGGGATTCTAGGTTGAGGTCAGGCTGTGGTAACAGTGGGAATGGGGAAGGGGCAGGTGGGTGGCATAGGGGTTCACACTTGGGCCTAAGGAAGGCAGAGCTGGGCTGACAGGAAGGCAGCCCCTGCCTAGGTCTGGGGGAGCAGGTGCTCATGAAGGGGTCTGCAGAGACATGGAGCCAGGGCAACTTTGGGGGGAGATTGAGGTGTGCTGGCAGGGACCAGCATGAGCACATGGGCCTAGATATAGAGTGGAGGTGGCACAGCCCTCCTGAGGATTGGGGACACAGCTGAGGACTAGAGTGGAAGAGGGAGCCCCCTCTGGGGACAGGGCCAAGCAGGACAGTACTTGCCTCCTGGGCCCTGAGGGTTGGCCACAGTGGGCCTGTCCTGTTTTCTGGCAACACTGATATCTCCTCCTGCAGTTCTCCTGCTACCCCAAGTGCACACTGCATGAGGACTATGGGCGGCTGTGGGAGAGCCGCCAATTCTGTGATGTGGAGTTCGTGCTGGGTGAGGTGGGTGCCCTTCTGTGTACCCAGCCCCTCTGCTATGCCCATGGACTGGGGGCTTCACCCAGAGGTGTGGTTGCCTGCCCAGTGCCGCCTGCCCTGGCTGCCTGGGCCTCTGCCCCTGGGTGTTGCCCCACGTCTTCCACCCATGCCTTGTTCATGTGCAGAAGGAGGAGTGTGTGCAGGGCCATGTGGCCATTGTCACTGCACGGAGCCGCTGGCTCCGTAGGAAGATTGTGCAGGCACGGGAGCGGCTGCCTCAGGTGAGGTACGCACCCTGACTGAGCAGCTGGGTCCATTGTTTAGGGGGTGCCCTCAAGCACCCTTCTTCCTACAGAAGCTGCAAGAAGAGGCAGCCCCCACTCCCAGGGACACCCTCGGCAATACTGTAGGGGGAGCCCGGCCACCCTTGCTGCATGTGGCCATCCGGGAGGCCGAGGCGCGGCCCTTCGAGGTGCTCATGCAGTTCCTCTACACTGACAAGATCAAATACCCCAGGAAAGGTCTGCTTGGGCTGGGGGTCAAGTGGTAGGAGGGTGGACAGCAGCGCCTTAGAGGTGGGTGCTGATAGCCTCACTTTACAGATAGTCCCTCCGAGGCTCACAGGTGGCTGTCATCCTCCATCACCTGTGACCTCAGCAGCCACCTTGTGGTCAAGCTGCCATATGAGGCCCCCAAGGTTTTTTTCCCACCTGGTAGCCGTGACTCACACTTGTCCATGGAGGGGGCCCTTTCCCCCTCCCCACCCCCCCAGAGACCCCAAGGAACTCTTGGCTGCAGGCCACGTGGAGGATGTGCTGCTCATCATGGACGTGTACAAGTTGGCACTGAGCTTCCAGCTATGCCGCCTGGAGCAGCTGTGCAGGCAGTACATCGAGGCATCTGTGGACCTGCAGAACGTGCTGGTCGTGTGTGAGAGTGCCGCCCGGCTGCAACTGGGTCAGCTCAAGGTGCGGGTGGGGGCAGAGCAGCAGCCAGATGAGTGTTCCTGCAGTGAGGTCCCGCTGGGGTGGGTGGGACGCTCAGGCTGAGCCCCTTGCCCAGCCTGGGGTCAGGGCTCAACCCTGCCTGCCTGTGCCTATCTGTCCCAGGAGCACTGCCTGAACTTCGTGGTGAAGGAGTCCCACTTCAACCAGGTGATCATGATGAAAGAGTTCGAGCGCCTCTCATCCCCACTGATCGTGGAGATTGTGCGGAGGAAGCAGCAGCCGCTCCCTCGCACCCCCTCAGACCAGCCTGTGGACATCGGTGGGCAGCCCTTGTCACCCTTCCTTGAGGCGGGAGGGATGATGTTCATCTTGGGCAGCAGACCTAGGATCCGTGGAGAGCAACTGCTAGGCTCTCAGGCAGGGATGGGTCCTGGGGTAGACATGGGACACCTCTTTTGGGCTGAGATGCTGGGTCTGTTGGCTCAGGAGTGACTGATCACTGAGCTTCTGCTAGGCGCAGTGAGAATCAGAACAGCTCAGAGACCCCCTTTGTCTTGCTGTGTCCTGCACCCACCTAGCCCAGGAATGAATATTACAGGTCCTTTTATTCCCTAGCTCTCCCTGGGACTATGCTGACACTAGCTGTTGGCTCTTGGTGACACCTGACGACCCCAAAGGCCTGTGGAGGGCACAGTGGGCCGTCTTGGAAGATTAGTTGTTGGGGGCAGAGCAGGCCTAAAGGCTGTGTTTGGGGTGCAGTACTTGCATTGGGGCTGGGGGAGAAGAGGATGGGCTGGAGTGAGGCCCATGTCCTGAGGGAATTTTCACTCAGGGTAGAATGTGGGCACATGTGAGGGAGGTGGTACCCATGGGAGGGGGTACCCTTGGAAGGGGGTCCCAAGACTAGAACTTGAAGCTGCCCCTAGCTTAGAGTATGCTGGGTGTGGGAATGCCTGCTCAGGGTCCCTCCACACCCCTAGGCACATCTCTGATCCAGGACATGAAGGCGTACCTGGAGGGGGCAGGTGCAGAGTTCTGTGACATCACGTTGCTGCTGGATGGGCACCCACGGCCGGCTCATAAGGCCATTCTGGCTGCCCGCTCCAGGTCAGTAGGGCTGGAGGAGTGGGGGAGGGAGGCCCCATGAGGCTGCATTCCACTGAGAGCCGGAACTGTGGCCTCTGTGCAGCTACTTTGAGGCCATGTTCCGGTCCTTCATGCCTGAGGACGGGCAGGTGAACATCTCCATTGGGGAGATGGTGCCCAGTAGGCAGGCCTTCGAGTCCATGCTGCGCTACATGTACTACGGCGAGGTCAACATGCCACCCGAGGACTCCCTGCATCCTGTGCCTGTGTGCACTCTTCCCACCTCACTGCTCAGGGTCCCAGTGCCCACCGCAAGCAGCTTGGGGCCTGGCAGCCCTGTCTCAGCCAGATATTCTCTGCTCAGGGCCTCACTCTGCAGGGTTTGCTGGTGGCTAGTGCTGGGCTAGTATCTCTGAAGCACTCAGAGCTGGCTGACAGGGGTTTGTGGCCAGGAGGGATGGGTAGGTTTTTGCTCCTCATAGTCCTTTGGAGAATGGGGTCGTCACCGCTCTGCAGCAGGCGAGCAGACAGACATGGAGTGACTCCTTGGTATGTCACGTCACTTCAGTAGGGTACAAGGAAGCTCTTCAGGACCCGTGGTACCCTGTAGCAGTTCTGGAAACACAATTTGTGGTTTTCCTTGGATCTTGAATTTGGTCTTTGACCCATTTTCTGGTCTAGGGCCCATTCAGAGAGGATAGGGAGGAGGCCAGCTGGGGGGGACCAGCTCCCTTTAGCCATCAGCTCCTTAACCAGCGCCCAGCTACCTGTTTGCGGCCCCCTACTACTACGGCTTCTACAACAACCGGCTGCAGGCTTACTGTAAGCAGAACCTGGAGATGAATGTGACAGTGCAGAACGTGCTGCAGGTAGTTCCCCTGTGCCTGTGGGGAAGGGTGGGGAGTGGAGGGTGCATGGGGCAGCGTATCAAGGTCCTGCCGTTGCAGATCTTAGAGGCGGCTGACAAGACACAGGCACTGGACATGAAGCGGCACTGCCTGCACATCATTGTGCACCAGTTCACCAAGGTCGGGCCCAAGCCTTCCCTTCAGGACCTTCTTCCCCTTGGCAGTGGCAGTGTCAGGGGTGGGGTGCTTGGAGATGAGCTGAGCAGAACAGTCTGCTGTCGGCTACCGCTCAGCCCTGAGCATGTTGGGCCCCAGAGGACTCCGCTGCCCCTCTGGCCATCATGTGGATTTGTTCTCATCCTGTTCCCGCCTTCTGGTTGCCTCGGTAGGTCTCCAAACTACCCACGTTGCGGTTGCTGAGCCAGCAGCTGCTGCTTGACATCATAGACTCCCTGGCCTCCCACATCTCCGACAAGCAGTGCGCAGAGCTGGGCGCTGATATCTGAGGCCCTCTAGCATCCACCTTGAGTGAAGAGTAGCCATGCCTGCCTGCCCTGCCCACTGCAAAGACTGCACCAGCCACACCAGTAGCAGTCCTGTACCTGCCAGGCCCTGGGCCAGGGTGCCCAGAGGGGGTCGCATAGGATGTAGATGGTGAAGCAGACCCATACTCCAGCTAGTACCTTCTCTTGGAGTGAAGTGTGGGTAGGAGGCCCTGGCTCAGTGATGAGGACAGTACTGAGAAGTAGAAAGAGACTCCAGAGCCATGACCTTGGGCTTCCCACCCAGCAGGGCCTGGGCATGGGCTTTGGGGGTCTTGGTATAGCCCCAGCCTGGGTATGTTGTGGATCCAGGCTGGGTCCTGATTTTAAGGCCCTGTTGATGTGGGAGGGGACCTAGCAGAACTGCTGCCCCGTGAGAGTCTGCCTGGGCTGTACCCACCCCTACCTCACCCTCACTGAGGCTGGTGTAAGGGGTCTCTCCTCCCACTCACAGCTTGTAATTGGGACTCATGATGGACAGGTCTGACTCAAGATGAACTTTGGAGTGAAGGGCCCTGAGGTCAGCTCCCAGCCAAAAGATTGTCCATGCTGGACTGGGCCTGGCTCTTAGGTGGTTTGCAGGATCCCAGCCCACCTGTGTGTACATCAGGGCTCAAGGCTAGGGCAAGAGAGAAGTCAGGAGAGGTGCCCCCAGGTCCCTGTGTCCCTCACTAAGTATTTATTGTTATAGATATGCCTCCATTAAAGCCACAGCAGTGCTACTCCACCTGCCTCTCTGGCACAGTCTCCACCTCCACCCTCTGGCCCTCAATCCCTTGGCTGTCCTGCAGTAGAGGACCAGCTATGACCTGATGGCTTGGGAACCACTTAAGTATAGGTTCAGCCATCTTGCCTGTTTTTCTTTTTGAGACAAAGTCTCAAGCTGTAGCCTTTGGTAGAGTGCTGTGGTGTCACAGCTCACAGCAACCTCCAACTTTTGGGCTTAAGCGATTCTCTTGCCTCAGTCTCCCAAGTAGCTGGGATTATAGGTGCCTGCCACAATGTCCAGCTGTTTTTTGGTTGTGGTTATCATTGTTTTGTGGGCCCAGGCTGGATTTGAACCCACAAGCTCTGGTGCATGTGGCCAGCACCCAAGCCACTTGAGCTACAGGCTTTTTTTTTGAGATAATTTCATTATGTTGCTCTCAGTAGAGAGCCATGGTGTCACAGCTCACAGCAACCTCTAACTCTTGGGCTTAAGCAATTCTTTTGCCTCAGTCTCCCCAGTAGCTGGGACTAAGGTGCTGGCCACAACACCCAGTATTTTTTTTGGTTTTTGCTTGTAGTTGTCATTTGGCAGGCTCAGGCTGGATTTGAACCCACTAGCTCCAGTGTATGTGGCTGGCACCCTAGCTGCTGAGCTACAGGCGCTGAGCCCTATCTTGCCTGTTTCTTTATCCACATTGTTAACAGCTCCCTGCCCCCACTTAGGGCCACGCAGTCACATGGGGAGAAAGGACTGGTAACTCCAGAGCAGGCACCCTGCCCTCACGCTCAGCCTGTCCCTGTGCTATACTATTGGCTCCTGGGGAGGGGGACCAACTTGCCGGGCTGGGAGCCAAAGACAAGTTAGTACTTTCTGTTGTCCTAGAGGTCTTGGCTGAGTCTACACTGATGCCAGGGGCCTGGTCCTGTCTTTCTGGAAAGAAGAGTCCAGAACCCCTTTTTGTCCTGGCTGCAGAACCGTAGCTCACCTCAGTGGAAATAAGCTGCTCTTCTGGCCTTAGAGTTTATCCCCTTCTGGCTGTGCTCCACAAACCTGGCCTTGCTACAGCCTTGACTGCAGGGCCCCAGGTGGCTGTGCAGGTGGATGTGGGACCTTGGATAGTTAAGGTGGGCACCCTTGGCCAATGGTAGCAGACCCATTAAGTCAGACAGCAGGCTAACAAGGGTGTGTGCAAGCAAGCGAGCTGGGAAGCAGAGGAGGAAGAAGCTAGAGTGAGGCAGAGGATGACATGTGGAGAGGCTACTTCAGCACCCAGAGAACGTCACACTGGGTGGGCAGGCTGGGTGAGTCACTCATAATAGAAGCATGGAGCTACCCATCCAGTGTCCATGAGATCTGACTCTTGCTGCACCCACAGGGCAGCCTCATCCACACCCAGAGGGTCCTGCCTCAGGCCTCCATGAATCACCACCTGCAAACTCTGCTCTATGCTGACCCTTGTTAACTGGTCCTCAGCTGTCTCTCAGACATAACATGAATAAAGTTACACACTAAAGGCCCTAAAAACCAGATTTCAGAACACTGGGTGACAGTTGCTGGAGCTAAAAACAATCTGTGCTCCTTGGGCACAGCAGTAAGTCATGTTTATAGTCGGAATGTTTCCACACACACAGTTGTCTGCCAATCACAGTTGCAGTGAGATTTTCTGGTTCCCAAAGAAAAATAAGAACTTTGAGGCCAGGACCCAAATGACTGTTGAGCTCTGCTCACCTGTTCCCAGACTTGAAAGGACTATTGCAGAATGGTTGCCTCCTGGAGCCTTAGAACTGGCTGTGCATAGCCACCCTAGGAGGCTGTTGACTGTCACCACTTCCTCCACTATTTCAAATAGAGATGGGCCTGGTGGTAAGCAGGTTGAGGGGCTAGCCTGCTGATCACCAAAGGTCTGCAGGCAGAAGCCTGTTGAGCACCTGTGTTAAAACCAATTTTGGACTGGGCTGAGTGTTCGCAAAGAGGCTGGCTTGTTTTTGGTCTTAAGGAAAACAGCTCCTGGCACTGACTGGTTCCTTCTCACACCATTGTGCCCCGAGAACCCTGCTGGCATGGATGGCTGCTACCTGTCTAGCTGTGCAGCACAGGGAATAGGAGCTGTGCTTCCCCTTCCCCACAGCAAAGCTTGGACTCCAGGGTCTGGGCCCACTGGGGGCTACAGCTACTGTCTAGGGTGAATAAGCCCAGTACCACTAGCTAAGCCAGATAGCAAGGCTTGCTCCTAGAATTCACTTTATTATGGCATCTGGCAGGTCTTTAGAGTTCTGGTGAGGTCCCTCTCCAGACAAACTCTGAGGGAAGAGGAGACTGAAGCCTGCCCAGGTGGCCCCTCAGGCCATGCTGCTGCTCAGCTGCATGGCAAAATCTTGCACATGCTCCTTCAGAGTCTGGCGGGCATCTGCCTGTGCCCGCTTTTCCCGTGCCCGCTCCTGCTGCAACTTGGTCAGCCGCAGCCGTAGCCTCTGCTCACGTCGCTTGCAGGCCTGCAGCTGGCGCTGGGCCTTGTCCAGGGCATCAAGGGCTGCCTCAGCCCGCCGCTTCCAGAGTAGGGCACTGCCCACCTGGTAGCTGTGTTCATTCTGGATATAGGCTCCAGCAGGTGGTGGCAGGCGCAGCATGTAGGCTGAGGGGGACACAGGCCGTGGCTCAAGAGGGGAAGGCTGCTGCTCTGGTGAGGGCTGGGCACTACAGCCTGCTTCATCTGCCTGGGCACCCAAGGGGCCCAGAAGGTCTGAGAAGGGGCTGTATCTCCCAACTGGAGAGGCAGGCAAAGTGGCAGGTGCTGAGGCCTCCTCCACAGGAAAGCAGGTGACATCAGAAGGTGGAGGCGGAGAAAATGGAGTCATAGGCCCTCGGCCCTCAGAGCAGCTGGGGTGGGGAAGAGAAAAAGACTGGCAGGGCAGGCAAAGGGCTTGCCAGACCCCACTCCACCTGCCCGCCTGCCCTCCCCCAACCTGAATTGCTCCACAGGGCTTGTGCAGCTTGCCACAAGCACCCAGTCCCTTAGCCTCAGGGTGGGAAAGGGCATCCCCCCACAGCACATACCGCTTCCTACATCGCCGCAGTCTGCTGACGTTGGGGGGGCTGGGTAGGTCACCGTACCCCTTGGTCTTGGTTGTGCGGTGCAACTTGGAGAAAGACGCAAATATGGTGGGGACTGCCCCCTCCTTTAGCCTGTGATACCCGCTGTGGGAAAAGCAGCTCAAGTGAGGTAAAGAACCAGAGCTGTCTTCCCTGGCCCATGGCCCCTGCACAGAAGTGCCTGTTTTCTAGCGCCCCTGAGCAGCTTCCCCAGGACTAGCACTCATGCAAAGATAAGTTTGAGGACCGCCAGAGTAGGTCCAGTCACACCAACTCATCCCCACAGGACTCCATAAAGTGTAGGTACCTGGAGAAGCTCCTCAAACAGAGCTGGGATGACTTGCCAGAAAGATTTGGTTATTTCTAAACTTGCTGGGAGAACTTAGGTTCTAAAAAACATCCTGAGGAAAGGCTCACATTTTTTGCTTTTGTCACTAGCACAGTGATCCTAGGGATGGGGCTTGATGGACAGAGATGGGAAAGGAAACTCTGGGAACCAGGTGTGCCCGGCTGCCTGGCAGAGTGTTCTCATGCCAGCTGCTAAAGGGACTTTCCCATCAGGACCTATGGCTGCTTGTATTGGTGGGCAGGAAGGCCCACCTGATCCCCACCAGCTCGAAGCAGTTGTCCTCGAAGTGTTTGGAACAGAAGTAGATGTACTCGGACGTCGGGTCCCACAGACCCTGGCCACTGGGGTCCAGGCGCTGGCAGTTGGCCAGCCACAAGCCTCGTCTTGGGTTGTCCTTCTTGGGAAGTCTGTAAGACCACAAAACCGTTAGCAGCAGGCTATCTTTAGCCCTGGGCACGTGCCGCCCAAGCTCCCCAGGCGGGAAGAGCAGACCCTGCACGTGCTGCCATGAGGCCTCCCCGCGCCCCTGCCGGAGAAGCTCCGCACACCTGGGCGCATACGAGAAAACTCAGGCCTCGAGAAGAAAAGCAACTTGCTCAGCGACATCTAGCAAGTAAGAGAGAGCACCAAGATCCAAGCCTACGGGAACCTCCTGTCGATCCTCTCCCAAATGGAACTCATTCCAGGAACACCACCCCCTCACCCCTTCCCACCCTAACGTCAAGCCACGCCTGGACCACAGGGCTGCCCGAGGCGCATGCGCAATCGTTAGCCAGCGGGAAGGGAGACGCCAGCGCATGCGCAGTGCGCCCTCGCGTGCCAGTGCGCACGCGCGCTGACCTGTGGAAAGAGATGCCGCGGTTGCGCGTTTCGCGCGTGTCCCGTGTGCAGCAGCCGGCGGCTGAGCAGTGACGCGGCATCTGGGGAAGAGGCGGGTGCTAAGCCGCGAGTGATTGTCCGGGCCCGTAGGGGCTTCGCGCCTCCAGTGGCCCCTCTGCTCCAGGAGGCCCTGACCCGTCGAGCCCCCCGGGGCCCGATCTTGCCCCAACCCCGTCCCCGACGGTTCTCTTGACTCCTGTCAGCGGCACTCACGGTCTCGCCATTGCTGCGCCGCCGAAATCTCGCGTTGTGTGGCGGCGGCGGAAGTCGGTATCATGGAGATTCGGAGTGGGTGGTGCTCGGCCCGAGGGGCGGGGCCGGGAGAGGTCCTGGCAGGCGCGCTCCGGAAGAGGCGGCAGCGATGGGTTCGGCGTCAACCTCGCGTCATCCCAGCTATTGGATTAACGGTGTGGCTCACGTGCATTTCCCTTTTGTTCAAAGCTCCTTCTTCACAAACACCCTGTGGCGGATGGAGCGGCCTCGGCGCGCGGGTCTGCGCGGCGGCGAGAACCGGCGGTGTCCCGGGAGCCCCGCCAGCCCGCCCCTGAGGGACCCTTATTTGAGGAGACGGCACCAAGAACACGGGAGCTGTGGCGCTCGCGCCTGTGCGCAAAATTTGCTTACAGATATCAGGACTTGAGGGAAAGCTCGCGGCGCCCCCTGATTACACTTGGGGGACGGATTCCATCTAGCCACACCCACGACGGGACGTGACAATGCGGGACACATCCTGGGGCGGCTGCCTCTCTGATCCTCCACCTCCCCTCGAAGCTGAGGGTTACGCAGCCGCCCTGCCGAAGGAGTTAAGCGTTTCAGGAGCCTTCCCCACGCAGCCCTTCCCTGTGAAGCCTGCCTTCTGGAAGTTTGCAGCAACGGGAATGGCTAGCACGCTTAACTTAGGAAAAGATACAAGTGGATACTTTCCCCTAGAAGTCCTCTTGGAAAGGGCAAGTTATATGGAGGAAGAATTTTGTCAGAATACGTCACAGGGGACAGATGATGTCTCAGTACACAAATTTTAATAATTAAATATATCTTGTAACATTATGGTGGGGAGAATACAAAGGGATGGTCGCCTGCCATGCCCTCCGCTCAGTATTCCTCCCCTTCTTCAGCCTCGGCTTCCACGGAATCCACGCCCACTTCTTCGTAATCCTTCTCCAGAGCTGCCAGGTCCTCGCGTGCCTCCGAGAACTCTCCCTCCTCCATTCCTTCTCCCACATACCAGTGTACGAAGGCCCGCTTGGCGTACATGAGATCGAACTTGTGATCCAGCCGTGCCCAGGCCTCAGCAATGGCGGTGGTGTTGCTCAGCATGCATACGGCCCGCTGCACCTTGGCCAGGTCACCCCCAGGGACCACGGTGGGGGGCTGGTAGTTAATGCCCACCTGCCAGAAAAGGGAATAACGGATAGAAGTTTATATTGGTCTCAGAAATAGTAGCTTATTAAAAATTAATGTGGGCTTGGTGCCTGTAGCTGAAGTGGCTAAGGTGCCAGCCACACACCAGAGTTGGCAGGTTCGAATCCAGCCCCAGCCTGCCAAATAACAATGACAACTACAACAAAAAAATAGCCAGGCAGTTGCGCCTGTAGCCCCAACTACTTGGGAGGCTGAGGCAAGAGAATCGCTTCAGCCAGGAGTTGGAGGTTGCTTTGAGCTGTGATGCCATGGCATTCTACCCAGCGCAACAGCTTGAGGCTCTGTCTCAAAAAGAAAAAAAAAAATTGATGTGGATCTAGTTCAAACAATGTCCTGTAAAAAGTGATTATATCTACATTTATAAAGACTTTTAAATACTTAGTTTGAAACAACTGTCCATCATAGGGAGCCAGTTAATACTCTGATCAAGAACTGCCCTCTGGGTGGGGCCTGGTGTCTCAGGCCTGTAATCCTAGCACTCTGGGAGGCTGAGGCAGGTGGACTGCCTGAACTCTTGAGTTTGAGAACCAGCCTGAGGCAAGCACAAGACCCCATCTCCACTAAAAATGAAAAACTGAGGCAAGAGGATCACTTGAGCCCAAGAGTTTGAGGTTGCTGTGAGCTATGATACCACAACACTCTACCAGTGGTGACAAAGTGAGACTCTTGTCTCAAAAAAAAACTGCCCTCTGGTCTCTCACCTTTTCTGCTCTGAGAGGGACCCACTTCCAACTCTCTTTAAGTGCTCTAAACTTTCTTTCTCTTTGTTCTTCCTAAATAAAATCTCTCTTTACCTTGGGGGGGAAAAAAGAACTACACTCCCATAACTAAAGCTAGACCAAGTGCAAGAGCTGCCAGCTTCCTCCTCTCTGTGACCACCTGTGTGCAATAACTGGGTCTATCACCTACAGGAAAGGAACCTGCATCCTTTGTCTACATCTGCTGGCCTCTGTTAGCCAATATCACCTGTATAAGAAGAGGCCAATGTACCCTGAATATGTACAGAATGTCACTCAAGAGGCCAAAAAGGGAAGATGACTTCAACTTTTTACCCTTATAAATTGTTCAAATAATTGGCCACAGGTGGTGCCTATGGCCCAAGGAGTAGGGTGCCAGCCCCATATACCAGAGGTGGTGGTTGTTCAAACCCGGCCCTGGCCACAAAATAAATAATTGGCCACGTATAAGTACTTTTATGAGAGAAAAGTTTTTCTTTTTTTTTTTTTTTTGAGACAGTTTCACTATGTCACTGTAGAGTGCTATAAAATTACAGCTCACAGCAACCTCCAACTCTTGGGCTCAAGCGATTCTCTTGCTTGAGAGAGAGCCGCCACAATGCCCAGCTACTTTTTTCGTTGCAGTTGTCTTTGTTTGGTAGGCCCAGGCTGGATTAGAACCTGCCAGCTCTGGTGTATGTGGTTGGCGCCAAGCCAGAGAAAAGTTTTTCAACATGAAAGGGACTCTTTGAAGATACTGCATCCCTAAGCAAATGGTGTCAAAAAGTATATGACAAATCACAGACTGACAAAAATAAAAAAGGAACTTACAAGGGCATGATGGCTTATGCCTGTAATCCCAGCACTTTTAAGAGGCTGAGGCTGGGGTATCGCATGAGACCAGAAATTCAAAATCAACCTGGGCTATCATATAGCAAGACCTGCACCTGTAAAAAGTTATTTTTTTTTAAATTGAGTGGGTGTAGTGGTGCACTTACAGTCCCAGTCCCCACTCAGGAGGCTGAGGCAAAAGGATTCCTTGAGCCTCCAGTGAGCTATGATCATGTCGCTGTACTCCAGCCTAGGGGATTAGAACCTGTCTCTTAAGAGAAAAAAAAAGGGGGGGGTGGGGGTGGGGGTGGGATGGAATTCATGAAATGTGGGACTACCACATGTCTTCTGTGGAGATGAGAGGCTGCGACTTCCTATCCACTCCCACTGACCAGGTCCTTACTGTCTCACAAAAGCCAAGGAAACCTGGTCAAGGCACAGCATCGCTCAGGAAGCCTGCCAGCTGAAGCTACTATAAGAAAAATTACTCTGGCTCGGCGCCTATAGCTCAACCGGCTAAGGCGCCAGCCACGTACACCTAAGGTGGCGGGTTTGAATCCCCAGCCCGGACCCGC